GCAGTGCATCCATATGACTTAGATGTTGTATCTAAGAATGTATAAAATTGGAATAGCACATGTATTGTCTGCCTATATTATATATATCTGCATGATTGCTGTTAGTTATTGTCTATCGTTGGGTGGTTTACTTACGTGGGCCAGACCTCTTAAATTCGGGGTGTGACAAAAAAAGCTTCTGCTCATATTGAACTATTATCAACTAGCTAGCTCTCTTTGCATTTAGAAAAGGTTTAAGGTCCTGATGGTACTAAATAAACAGTGATGGCCTAAGCCTCAACCAGTATGACATTAGAGAAAAAAACCATTCCATTTGGATGTTTAGGGCAGAAGGTAGCCTTGGTACGAGTGTGAAGCAGGCAAAAAAAAAAAAAAAAATTTAAATGAAATAAATGAATGTGCCAATGGAAATTCATTATACATCACAATTTAGAAACAAAAGGCAAAAGCAAAAGTGGACACCAGATATTTGGTTTGGCATAGACCATATAATCCATCTTTTTATCTTTTTATCTTTTTTCTATCACATCACCTCTCTACTTTTCTGCACATCTTTTCGTAAAAAGACAAAAAGTACACTTTTGTAGGACACCCCAAACCAACCCAAACAAATGGCAAGCAAACGCATGAGAATCAATAAACAATTGCAGCACTTGTCATTTTCCTATATTTTAAACACTGAAGATGGAATTCTGAAACAGGAGGAATACTCTAATGGCATGTTTGATTAGTAGGATTATAGCATAGGATTAGGATTGTTAGTTCATGGACTCACAATCCAATGTTTGATTGTAAATTTTATTAATTGGATTACATGCACGGAGGACATTCAATCTGACGAAATCGGCGAATTTTTAATATTGAGAGGGGTTGGAAATTATAATTTCAAGTATAAAAGAAAAAATTTGTGGAATAAATACATAATAAATGATTATCTCACTAATTTAATTGAATAACTAATCTTACATTAATTCATGAGATTATTAATCCTGTTAATCAAATAAGGCCTAATGAAGGTCCTTTTGCAGGTGAAATATAAAGACAGCACACAATACTATAAAATAGGACAAAACACCCATCATGGTGAGAATTTTAAAGAAAACGACAATGCTACATAGCTTAAATTTTGTGGCTCAAAAGTGGCTCAAATGGCCAAAACGACGTCGTTTTGAGTACAGAACAACATAAAAATGGCCAAAACGACGTCGTTTTGGCCATTTGAGCCACTTTTGAGCCACAAAATTTGAGCTACGAGACATTTTCCTAAAGAAAAATAGCTTGTAGCTCGAAAGCTCCAAGGCTCGATTGGCCCGAATCACAAAACGTCGTTGTTTTGCGATTTTTTTTTTTTTTTTCCTTCTTTCTTCTTTCTTTTTGTATCTGAAATAGGGAGGGAGGAAGAGAGAGAGTGAGAGAAAGCGAGAGAAGAGAGAAAACGAGAGGCGAGAGGGAAGGAGGAAGAGAAGGTGATGGCGGTCGTCGCCGATCGATCGCCGATGGGTAGATCGCCACTTTCTCTGTTTTCTGTATTTTTTTTTTTTTTTTAGTGGATCTGGATGTGTTGATGATGATGATGATGTTGTTGATGAAGGTGGTGTTGTTGATGATGATAATGCGTTGATGAAGATGTTGCTGTTGATTTTTTTTTTTTTGTGTTGGGGGATTTGGGTTTGATTTTTGGTTGATCTCTCTCTTTGTGCTCGGGTGATTTTCTTCTTCTCCCCTCTTCTCTCTTTCCTCTTCTTTCTTCTTTCTTTCTTTCTTTCTTCTTCTTCTTTGTTGAAGAAGAGGCATAGATCAGAACAGAGAAAGGGGAGAGAAAAAAAAAAAAAAATATCAAAACGACATCGTTTTGATTTTAGGGCCAATTGAGCCACTGATTTTCGAGCTACGTAATGGGATTGAATTTTAAAATAGCACAAAGCACTTGGACATTGTATCTCTGATCTCCAACTTTCTATGAGCCAATGATTTCACTGAACCTTTTGAGGGTGAGAATGACTTGCGACCACATTTTGTATTTATCTTGAGTGGGAAAAACTGGCTACTCTGATTTTATATCAATTATAAAGCCACACATAACCCAAAGAATCCATAAAATTTAATGACTTCAATGAAGTGGAACATCATTCAAATTAACTTTTCTGACTAGAGGTTCGGCCGTGCCTGGAATTTTTAATGAGTGGAAAAAGACTCACTGCCTGGAATTTTTAATGATTGGAAAAAGACTCACAGCAGACTTTCCTCAGGAGCAGGATTTTCCCTCCAGGATGGGCAACCGAGGCAGCAGCCAGTAATGCAGCAGTCTAACAAGCACGGACACGGAACACAACAACAAGAAAATTAGGATAGACGGGCAGGTGGCCAAAAAAAAAAAATTCACGTCAATGTAGTGTATTTTATATTTTTCCACTTTTCCCCTCTCTTTGTTTTCATATATTTTATTTTGAGCCCAAATCAACTATATAAAATTATAAATTAAAAAAACCCACATAAGCCGTGAAGTATATCCAACCACAAAACAGTGAAAAAGATAATAATTAAAAAAAGATCATAATAATTAAAACAGAAAAGATAATAATTAAAAAAAATGACATGCCATGTGGCGTTTTTGTGACATGTCGATGTCCGATACATGTCGGATATAGAAAAAACAGCCATTTTGAAGTGTCTATACTTCTTAGGCAGCGGTAGATGTTTGTGCACATGAAGATTAGAAGTTCAATGGTGCGGGAGAAGGCCAACTCAAGACAGATGAAGAAGGGTTCAAGTTTTTAGCATGACCAATTGGAGGAATAGATGAGGATAACACAGTATAGCACATGCGACAACTAAGACACTAAAACAAAAAGGACCTTACCAATCACTATGCACATCACGAAGAGGGTTCGAGTTTTTAGCATGACCAATTAAAGAAAATCTAGACTCCATTTAAAGAGATACAGAGTGACTGCACAACACTCCTGCGTATCTTATTCAGAACAGTGACAATTGACAAAACCTCGTAAAATCTATAAGTTAAAAGTATATCCTTACCCATATTCCCAGTCTCAGACGTGTTTTCTTGGTTTTTCTTGATATTGTAAATGTATCTGTAGTTAAACAGACTCATGTGGTTAATTTTAACACGCAATGAAGGAAATTGCTACTTTAAGCAGATATTTTATTAACATTTGCACGGACATTTTACTCCCAATATCACTCTAAAAGATTGCACCCATAGTTTTGTTTTAAATATTTACAATAGGGTTATTTAACTACTTGACCTTCTCTATTTTGACAATAACACTATGTTGTAGTGATGATTATTGATAAGTCGATTTGGTATTGTTCCCACGAGAAGTTCAAATCTGCCCAAAAGATAGATAATACCAGAAAAACTGTGATCATATTAGGTAGGAAAAGAAAGGAGGGAAGATGGGCAGAAAAGAGGAGATAGCATCCTAAGATAAATTATTCCCAACTAAACAAGAACTCATTTACCTGTTGGAAACTGGTCAATTTGTATATCCTACCTCTATCAAAAGGAAAAAATTCACACAATTCACAAAAATAAATTATAACAAATCAAATAGGAATTTTTCTCAGTTGCTCCACCTCCATGTCGAGTGACTACTACAACTCTGAAAGCTACTGCAGAAAATATAAAATAATAATAATAATAATAATAATAATAATAATAATAATAATAATAATAATAATAAATTGCCATAATAATAATAATAATAATAATAAATCGCCATAAGCTCTAACAGAGCTAAATCCAATGTACCTATTTAACTATACACAAAATGGATGCAGAAAAACAAAATAAAACAAAACAAAAAACAAAAAAAGAAATTTAATCGAAAAGATTGATTAGACAAGTTGAGACGGTATAACTAATTACAAATCTCATAAAAGAAGCTATACTAATGCTGTGTTTGGTTGGGGGATTTGGAGAGGGATTTGGAAAGGGAAATGGAAAAGGTAGGTAAAATGTGAATAAAATATGTCTATATTTCACCTAAAAATTTAATTTTTAGTTGTGGTTACTAACCGCTACAATAGCCCATCTGTAGCAGCATTTTTTAGGCCGCTGCAATAAAAAACGCTGCTAAAACCTGATTTTCTTGTAGCAACCAAACACAACATAAAGGAATGAAGCACATACTTGCCACTTTCACAGGCCTGTTAAATGGAAATCACTTGTCATTGCCCATTAACAAGCTTGGTTTCAATCAGATGACAATATTAGTCATCAATAGAATAGAATATATGGCAAATGGAGGAAGGCACCAGAAGCCAGAATGGACAATGTGGAAGAGCAAGAATATAAAGGCTAACTAATGGGGGGCACAATGGAGAAAATCATTTCAATAGGACTTAAAATGCAGCCTCATTGCTTATATGAACTTTATCCTCTCCGGCTACCTAGCTTCTAGCAAAACAAATGCACAACTTCGAAGAACTGTACTACTTAAGAACCTTAACCTACCAAGGGATCTCACGTACATGAAAATCATAATATAAATCCAAAAGCAATAGTCATCCACCAATTGGGTAAGCATATCTAAATTGAACACTCAAGAGATCAACTTACAAAGTCAGCATGTTAATTCCAGATTTTAAGCCTTCCAAACAACTATTTCTGGTAATCTCAAATGGACATGATTAACAGCCCACTGAAATCAACACTCCCACTACACCAACTCACCACACTGACATTTCATTGCCAAATTCCATAATTTTGGGTTCAAAAAAATTATCACTACATGCAAATTTAAATGTGATACCTGGGCAGTTTTAGGGGCCTAATGCGGTTAGTTATCATGGCTGCACTCTTCTTTCCAGCTCTAAAGTGTAAAAATGAACAGTCATCAATTTCCAAGATGGCCAGTCTTAAATCTCCTCAAAGTTGAGCATTAGCTTGTTTTCCACCGAATAAGTTTAACAGGAACATATTCGGACAGAAAAAAAAAAATAAAAATGAATAACTCAAGAACTTAGACAAAAGATCGTAAACAAAATTTTACAATATGAATTATTCTCCATTGAAGCCACTAAATATTCCGCATGTTTCAATCAATGTGACAGCCTTGGCAGACTTCCATTTCCACGATTAAATCATCTATACAACCCAATTGGGCAAAACAAACATACATTCCAATGAGATAAATGGAAAAATCTATCATAATCGCTACAGCCACAGAAATATAAAGGTTTCCTGACGGCGGGAAAGCATTTCCAGCCAAAAGCATGTGTGAGCAGGAGCCTGGGGAAAAGGTGTAGAGCTGGATGGGGGAGATATTACCCCCCTAAGAAGTGCCCCTATATAGCAGTCATGACTGCATCGGGCATGTGCAAACACCAACAAAAATTGATATAAAAGGCCAGAAAAGTTCCAAGTCTGGAAAGGGCAAATTCAGTCCACGTCAAGGGCTTTGTGACCTGGACTAACACCCTCTGAAAACGATCATTCACATCCTCTAACAATCCAGTATTGTTAATCACTATGTCTGCCTTAGTCCTTTTCAAATCCAAAGGCATCTGAGATTGTATCCTGTTTGTAGTGATGCTCCATCTCTTGCCATGAGTCGCTGAAGCTGTCTTTCAGGATCAACTGATACTACAATAATGGAGTTTGTCCACTTGTCCATCTTGGCCTCAAACAACAAAGAGATATCGAGAACAATAACCTTACAGCTCTTCATCCAGAGCTTCAAAAATTCCCAAAAAAATTACCAGAATAAGTATAAGGTGCTAAATGTCTGCAAGAATATGATGCACAGAATTCAAAAATTAATGCAATGTATTTATGGAAAGTTCACATCGCAGCCCTCTAGTAATTTGGTACCAGACTACCAAGCAAAACTTAAGGCAATAAAAAAAATAAAGGATAATTTCCAAATATATATATATATATATAATAGCAGTGTGGAGAAGAGATAAAAAAAATTCAAATTAATTAACAGTTCACCCTTCTGTAGATTAATAATCAAAAGATGGATATATCTTAGAAAAAATGACTAGTTTAAGACAAGAAAATAAACAACAGTCAGTGCTCTAGCAGAAATATTAACACTAATCCAGTGATATTATTACAGGAAATGAAGCCATTCATGTTTTTAGTACCTGAAAGTAAACATGAGCTTGAAACAAGCCAGACATCCATGAGATTAGAAAACAGTACTGATACTTTCCTAACCCAAATGATACGAAATGCACAGTTGGAAAAGGATTAGCTATCCATTGGACATCCAAAACCAAATGCACCCAAACACTTCCAACCTATTAAGAAGTTGACGCTTATCAACATCAGAAAATACTATGTGGCTGAGCTTTCACCAAATACTATCAAGTTAACTTATCCATTTTCCCATAAGACGTATTCACCAAATGCTGCCATGACATTTTTTTTTTTTGATCAACAACAAAAGCTTTATTAATAAAAAGGAGAGAAGAGGATGAGGCATCCTCTGAATACAAAACAGTGAAAAGACAACAGGAAAAAGTCCCTAACCGACTAAAAACAATCAAAAGCTTACAAAGCACACACCGCCAACCAATCTCTAGCTAACAAAAAGAGTGGAACTCCTTTAAATAAAGAGTTCCCCGACGCCCAAAAAGAAGCGCCCAAAAAGAAGATAAGTGACAAACATGATCCCATAAACAATCCACCTCCCGAAACTTATCTTCAAACAACCTCTGATTTCGCTCCCATCATAGCACCCAAAAAGTTGCAAAGACCGCGCAAGTCCATAAAATTTTGGCTCTCTTCGATCCTCCAAATGTATGAAAATCAATTAAAAGCATATGCACACTCCTTTTTGGGGCCACCCACATACCATATCTAACACCAAACAATCAATGCCATAGATTCAAAGCTATTGGACAATGCAAGAATAAATGATCCACGGATTCCCCGCTCTTACAACACAGAATGCACCACTGAGGATTTAAAAGACGATTTGGTCTCCTTTTCTGCAATGTATCATTTGTCAAAATTCCCCTATGAACCAAGGCCCACATGAACACCTTTACCTTAAAGGAAGCACAAGCCTTCCAAACTTTTTTACAAAAAGGAAATTGAGGGATTTGAGGATTATCGATGATGTAATCAAAAAAAGACTTGCAAAAAAATATTCCGGACGAATGAAGTGCCCCCAAACCCTCTTGTCCTCCAAAAGAGGAGATAAAGAGAAGTGATCAATTCTAGATAATAAAGAAACCAACTGTGAGGCCTCCCTATCATTAAGATTTCTAGAAAAATCAAAATTCCAAGCAATTGGAGCTAAGAGAGAGCAAGCCATGGAAGCAATTGAAGAATTATGAGAACGAGCCACTCGATAAAGATGCGGAAAATCCGCAGCAAAAGAAGATTGATCCATCCAAACGTCCTCTCAAAACCGAACAATTTCCCCATTACCCACCCTTACAAAAAGATGTTGAGACCAACATGTGAAAATTTGAGAAATTGACTTCCAAGGAGCACGACAACTACCCCTTAAAACCACTCGTGAATCCCTACCATTGTCCTGAATCCCATATTTGCTTCTAATAACCTAATGCCATAATGAATCAATCTCCAGTGGAAATCTCCATAACCACTTGCCAAGAAGGGCCAAGTTCCTAGCTACAATGTTACCGATAGCCAAACCTCCTTTCTCCTTAGGTAACGACACCACCTCCCAATTCACCAAATGATCATTTTTCCCCTCATCCTTACCTTCCCAAAGAAAATCCCGCATCAACTTTTCTATTGACCTTGCCACCTTAACCGGAATCTTGAACAAAGATAAATAATAGATAGGAATTCCGCTCAAAACAGTCTTAACCAAAGTGTACCTTCCCCCTCGAGATAATAAAGCCTTGCTCCAGCCGTCCAATCTTTTGCCAATCTTTTCCATTACTGGAATCCAAAAAGCTTCACTTCTAGGATTACCCCCCAATGGGAGACCTAAATACTTAATCGGAAGGGACTCTATACCACAACCTAAAAGAGACGCCCTATTCTGAAGTTGATCTTGCTGCATATTAATTCCCACCACACTACTTTTTCCCAGATTAATCTTGAGCCCCGAAATAAGCCCAAAAATTCTCAAGATCGAATACAGGTTGAGTATCTGATTTTCATCCCCCGCGGAAAAAAATATAGTATCATCCGCATATTGTAAATGGTTCACACTAACTCTATCCTTCCCCACCTCCAATCCCTCAACAAGACCTGTTTCTTTAGCTCTATCAACCATCCTGCCCAAAACATCCGCCACCAAAATAAAAAGAAAGGGAGAAAGTGGGTCCCCTTGTCGAAGCCCTCGCGAAGCCCCTAAAACACTCCCCTGGTTTACCATTAACTATGACTGACATATTGCAAGTCGACAAACAACCCCTAATCCAAGATCTCCACCTACCACCGTATCCTTTCTTATCCATAACAAAATCTAAAAATTGCCAATCCACATTGTCATATGCCTTCTCAAAATCAACCTTAAAAATAAGCCCTTCCCTCCCTGAACTCCTATATTCCTCCACTACTTCATTTGCCACTAAGGCAACATCTAAAATTTGTCTACCTTTCACAAAAGCCCCTTGCACCCTAGACACCGTATCCCCTAAAGACATCCTGAGTCTTTTTGATAAAACCTTGCCCAAAATCTTATACAATGACGTTACCAAACTAATAGGCCTAAAATCTCCAATTCTAATGGCATTGACTTTCTTAGGAATTAAACAGATGAATGTGGCATTTGAGCTCAAATTAACAATTCCGGACTCATAAAATTCCAAAAACACTCTCAACAAATCCCCTTTCACCACCTCCCAACAATCTTGAAAGACAACTACAGAAAAACCATCCGGACCTGGAGCTTTATCTCTCTCACAATCAAAAACCGCCTCTCGAATTTCTGTTTCATCAAAAGGCCTTTCAAGCCATATTGCAATTTCTGGATCAATGGTTCCCCATTCTAGTCCTTCAATCCCCGGTCTACTCATCTCTTCCTTTGAATAAAGTTGGGAATAAAACTCATAAATGCCACTGACAATCTGATTCTCCCTTATAAATCTAAATCAAAGCTTCTTCTACAGTTTAAAAAAGCCAAATCTGATGATGTTCAATGTTTCTAATGAACTCCACACCAATGTATTCTTCAAAGAAAGTTAAATTCCTTAATAGCTTCCATTCAACGTTCTTGATTACCTGGGTCTCAGGTCCACCATTCTGTGATCCAAACTGTCTACGAACAGCACTATACCTAGTAGCAATACAAACTGCCCGTGATAAAGCACAGGAAGCATCGGCTACAATTGTTTGTCGGACATATACCATAGTACCATAAACTAGCTGTCGGGGAACGTTAGACTGCATATATTTCCCTTCCCGTGTAACCTGTGAAACCCTGAGGCATTTAAGAGAAGCTTTAAGACAGCCATCCTATATATTCAAATATACAAATGGTAGCAAGACTGAAGACTATGATTTATCATTTAAATGGTATGAAGGAAGAGTAAATTCAGTTCTTTTAACTCTATTGAAACTGATACCGAAATACACCCACATACAACAACCTTGTGCCTGATTCCAATAAATAAAAAGAGGGATTCCTATTAACCTAAAAGTGCTCAAACATTCATAAAACATCCAAAACTAAAAGCAAAAGTAAATGCAAATGCAAATGTAAATTAAACATTATCCTTACATGCCAACACCAAAAAAAGAATGAGAGCAGAGAAAAGAAACGTGAGAGAGTGAGAAAGCGAGAGAGAAGTGAGAGAGACAACAAGGATACATCAATTTGACAAATTCTATTACTTTAACTCGCACTATATTCCTCTTATCAAAGAACTAAACAAAATATTATAAGTAATATGTAACTTCGAGTATCCGATACTTCAAAATTAAGTATCCGATACTTCAAAATTAATAAAAAATTAATTAAGAAGTATCCGATACTTTTAAGAAGTATCTGATACGTATCCGCGAGTATCCGAGGAGTATCGGTATCTGATAAGTATCCGATACGGATACGTCACCCTTTTTGAAGTATCCGTGCTTCATAGCTTGCAGGCAAACACACCCATCTCCTATGTCTAACCCCCCAAAGGCTTTGCATGAACCTTCTCTCACATACTTCTACTTTGGTTTCCTGTAAAACAACAATGTCCGGTTGATGATGTCTAAGAAAATCCTTGATAACACCCCTCTTTTTCCGAGAGCCCAGACCCCTAACATTCCAACTAAAAATCTTCATAAGGAAACCTTATCTCCCTTACCCGCCCCACTTCTCCTCTCGTAATTCACTGAACTCGCTAAATTCTTTAATTCCCTAGCCCCCTTTTTACTACTATCACCTTCCTTTCTAACAGCTAACCCCCTCGTGGACCTATTACTTACCCTACCCGACCCAAACATGTCCTTAATTCTAACTAATGACAACCCCATGACCTGTAATAATTGCAAAAAATAAGGAATCTCACTCTCCTCAATTGGGCAAGTTGCATACTTGCTCAACTCGTTCAGCCATCTTTCTGTTTCTTCCTTCTCTCCACTAAAACCCTGGCCCCCCTTGTCAAAATGATTCCTGGAAATCCTACATTGATTATCGTTCACCTGACCTTGAGATATAGTTGCATGTAAGGATTCAGACACTAAGGTAGACTCAATCACCATGGCCCTCGGGATATCAACCGTAACCCCTTGTACAGCAGTGTCAACTAAAGAGACATCATGAACAGGGCAGAAGGAACTGGACTGAAGAGGCAAAGACAACCCATCCCGAACCCCATCCCCAGAAGAGGAAGAATTTGGAATAGCATGTAACCCCTCATGTAAAGACGAAACTGTTAAACCTTGGGTAACGAAAAAACTGACCTGATTCAGAGCTTCAGGAACCTTATCAAAATCCTCATCCAAAGTGGTACAGTCTACATTAAAGAAACGGTTGAGATCCCAGTCACTATCTACTTGCTCATCCTCACTAATTTCCCCTTCAGACTTCGATTCCGAGCTTGCAGATGATCCATATTCCTCCAAATTTTGCAATACCTCGTGTATCTCAAAATGACCCTCATCCACCTCATTAATCTGCTTTTCCGAGATCCTTATCACCTCCATCAATTCCTGAATCCCAGTCTTTGACCTCCCATTTAATCCCTATAAATCCCCCACGGATCTATCGACAACATCTGCCAGCCCAAAATGGATCTCCTCTGTATACATATCTCTGCGAATGGGTGACAAGATTTGTATAGCACGATCGACTTGATCTGATCCTTCACCGGATGGAAATTGACTGGCCTCCTTCATCGCTGAGCTACGTCGAAGACCCTCTTCTCCATCGAACCCTGTAACCCGTTTGAAACCGGACCCCGAAACCTCAATCGGATTGGAAAAAGAAACCTTTGGGCCTTTAAAAACATTTGGGCCCCTTTCAAGAGGCGGCTCAATTGTTGAATTTTCAAAAATAATTGGGCCCTTATCCTTATGAGTATGGCAAGCATGTGGGACTGAGAACTGTGGCCCATCAGCACAGCTATTATCTGATACTAACAATTCGTGGGTTGAGCCCACTTCATTACCAGGCCCATTATAATTAAAGACAAGCCCATTCACGTTAGT